CCCGCGCTGTGCCCGCAGCTGCTTCCTGCGGTCTCCTCCCGGCACTGAGCCTGCCCCAGGCGGCCAGGTGCGGCTTTTCAGTAACGCGAACCACGAGAGCCGCGTGTGTGGCTGAGTCATGTACAGGCACTGTGCTAAGCACTTAGGCCTTCGTTTAAGTCTTACCACAACCTTAGAAGGCATTGTCCCGTTTAAAGGAGGAGAGAACTGAGCTTAGGAAAGTCATGTAAACGCCCAGGCTCAGACACCGAGTGGCAGAATCAGGACTGAGCCTGAACTGAACCCGAGGTTTCCTGACCCTGGCGTAACCCTGTCTGTCCACGTCACTGCCCCTCGGACGCCGTCAATCACCCCAGGCACCAGCCTGGTCAAGGCCGCCACTCCAGCCCCGACCCTGCCTCTAGCAACAAGGTCCAGCCACACTTTCAACAGTCCCGGCTACACATGGGCACTTGTCTTCACGACTGCCCTGTGGTCCCAGTGAGGGGCTCCCTGTCCCTCTGTGTCCCAGTGAGGGGGCTCCCTGCTCCTCTGTGTCCCAGTGAGGGGCTCCCTGTCCCCCTGTGTCCCAGTGAGGGGCTCCCAGCCCCTGTGTGTCCCAGTGAGGGGCTCCCTGTCCCCCTGTGTCCCAGTGAGGGGCTCCCTGTCCCCCTGTGTCCCAGTGAGGGGCTCCCTGTCCCCCTGTGTCCCAGTGAGGGGCTCCCTGTCCCCCTGTGTCCCAGTGAGGGGCTCCCTGTCCCCCTGTGTCCCAGTGAGGGGCTCCCTGTCCCCCTGTGTCCCAGTGAGGGGCTCCCTGTCCCCCTGTGTCCCAGTGAGGGGCTCCCTGTCCCCCTGTGTCCCAGTGAGGGGCTCCCTGTCCCCCTGTGTCCCAGTGAGGGGCTCCCTGTCCCCCTGTGTCCCAGTGAGGGGCTCCCTGTCCCCCTGTGTCCCAGTGAGGGGCTCCCTGTCCCCCTGTGTCCCAGTGAGGAGCTCCCTGTCCCCCTGTGTCCCAGTGAGGGGCTCCCTGTCCCCCTGTGTCCCAGTGAGGGGCTCCCTGTCCCCCTGTGTCCCAGTGAGGAGCTCCCTGTCCCCCTGTGTCCCAGTGAGGGGCTCCCTGTCCCCCTGTGTCCCAGTGAGGGGCTCCCTGTCCCCCTGTGTCCCAGTGAGGAGCTCCCTGTCCCCCTGTGTCCCAGTGAGGGGCTCCCTGTCCCCCTGTGTCCCAGTGAGGGGCTCCCTGTCCCCCTGTGTCCCAGTGAGGAGCTCCCTGTCCCCCTGTGTCCCAGTGAGGGGCTCCCTGTCCCCCTGTGTCCCAGTGAGGGGCTCCCTGTCCCCCTGTGTCCCAGTGAGGAGCTCCCTGTCCCCCTGTGTCCCAGTGAGGGGCTCCCTGTCCCCCTGTGTCCCAGTGAGGGGCTCCCTGTCCCCCTGTGTCCCAGTGAGGAGCTCCCTGTCCCCCTGTGTCCCAGTGAGGGGCTCCCTGTCCCCCTGTGTCCCAGTGAGGGGCTCCCTGTCCCCCTGTGTCCCAGTGAGGAGCTCCCTGTCCCCCTGTGTCCCAGTGAGGGGCTCCCTGTCCCCCTGTGTCCCAGTGAGGGGCTCCCTGTCCCCCTGTGTCCCAGTGAGGAGCTCCCTGTCCCCCTGTGTCCCAGTGAGGGGCTCCCTGTCCCCCTGTGTCCCAGTGAGGGGCTCCCTGTCCCCCTGTGTCCCAGTGAGGAGCTCCCTGTCCCCCTGTGTCCCAGTGAGGGGCTCCCTGTCCCCCTGTGTCCCAGTGAGGGGCTCCCTGTCCCCCTGTGTCCCAGTGAGGAGCTCCCTGTCCCCCTGTGTCCCAGTGAGGGGCTCCCTGTCCCCCTGTGTCCCAGTGAGGGGCTCCCTGTCCCCCTGTGTCCCAGTGAGGAGCTCCCTGTCCCCCTGTGTCCCAGTGAGGGGCTCCCTGTCCCCCTGTGTCCCAGTGAGGGGCTCCCTGTCCCCCTGTGTCCCAGTGAGGAGCTCCCTGTCCCCCTGTGTCCCAGTGAGGGGCTCCCTGTCCCCCTGTGTCCCAGTGAGGGGCTCCCTGTCCCCCTGTGTCCCAGTGAGGAGCTCCCTGTCCCCCTGTGTCCCAGTGAGGGGCTCCCTGTCCCCCTGTGTCCCAGTGAGGGGCTCCCTGTCCCCCTGTGTCCCAGTGAGGAGCTCCCTGTCCCCCTGTGTCCCAGTGAGGGGCTCCCTGTCCCCCTGTGTCCCAGTGAGGGGCTCCCTGTCCCCCTGTGTCCCAGTGAGGAGCTCCCTGTCCCCCTGTGTCCCAGTGAGGGGCTCCCTGTCCCCCTGTGTCCCAGTGAGGGGCTCCCTGTCCCCCTGTGTCCCAGTGAGGAGCTCCCTGTCCCCCTGTGTCCCAGTGAGGGGCTCCCTGTCCCCCTGTGTCCCAGTGAGGGGCTCCCTGTCCCCCTGTGTCCCAGTGAGGAGCTCCCTGTCCCCCTGTGTCCCAGTGAGGGGCTCCCTGTCCCCCTGTGTCCCAGTGAGGGGCTCCCTGTCCCCCTGTGTCCCAGTGAGGAGCTCCCTGTCCCCCTGTGTCCCAGTGAGGGGCTCCCTGTCCCCCTGTGTCCCAGTGAGGGGCTCCCTGTCCCCCTGTGTCCCAGTGAGGAGCCCTCAGCTCCGTCACCCCGGCAGAGCCCGGGGCCACCGTCGTCGTGGGCCGAGCCGTCCGGACCGAAAGCACACGCAGGCTCAGCTCCTCAGAGGCGCCCATGCCGCCCGCAGCACTGTGTGCTGGGGAGGAGGGTCCAGGCTTTCTGCTCTGTTAGGAAAGCAGCCAGGGCGCCAGCCAGTGTGGCTCAGTGGTTGAGCACCGACCTGGAACCAGAGGTGCACCAGTTCGATTCCCGGGCAGGGCGCATACAAGAAGTAACCGATGAA